GCCAAGATTCCGTCGACTAAGCCATTAGTGGGGTGTTGTTGGCAAGAAGCGTAGACCCTACCATGAGCAATGACATTTAGATATTAGTTACACTTTCAGCAACTGAAAAATTTTGTACATAATTCGTAAAAATTCATTATAAAACAACAAAAAAAACGTGCACTTTGATTGACCGATGCCCGTAGTTGGATCAGGCCATCCAATCCAAACACGCGGAAATTGAAATTGCTGTCATGATAATTTTAAACATGCCTGAAAGACTATTTTTTGCTTCCAATGATTTTCAAGTGGAACATATTTCTGACAGTGTAAATATGAATTTCTATCCACGTTAATTTAATACACGTTAAAGTTTTGAGCAGAATCTAGTCAAAACGGGAAACGTGTCTTAAATTCGCATCAAGACGGATAAAGAAGACCAGTTAACGAAAATAATACGATCAAAGGATGAATTTAGATGGTCATTCAAAAATTAGCGCACGAAAGAAAACGAAGCACGCACATTATCAGACCTCAGCTTGCATTACTCTCAGCCAATTACCCACATATACCTTCAGAATAGGACTAACTTTTTAATACGAGTTTCCTTTCTGAAACGAGTTTCTCGTCTCTTAAGTAGATTCGAAAATTGAATGCATAATTTGCAGTAAAAGTCGGGGAGAGTACAAAATGGCTGATTTTAACTGTTGCAAACAAAGCTGCAGTAAATCATTTTGATTTGCTAACCAATTTTCAACTTCTTTGTCCAAACATAAATATCTATTTCCAGATAATTTGAATTACTTTCACTTTAAGCTAAACATCAATTTTGAGAAAGCAAATCGATGCACTTTGAAAGATATAGAAATTCTCAGTTAGATAAAACAGGGACTTTTTCCCATTGACTGTTATAATTCTAATTTGATGACAACTGATTGTAACGATACTCCCTGGTTCAAACCTTTTATATGATGACAACTATTGCATACAAAAATGAATGTATTTTCATATTGCATGTGTTATTTGGTTTGAGAACTAAAGAATGACATATGACGAAGGAACTACGCGTCTAGATTAAATGAACGCATTTTGACATTCTTCAAATAGTTTTTCTTTTGTATTTGTTTGCCAGTTTGTAACTTATCAGCAGGTGCATTGAACATCCAAGTAAAATATAGCGATCACGGGCACATCTTCGCACACTGTTCTTCTGATAAAGCTGTTTTTTGTCAAAAACCGTCGCTTTCGACTTTTATCAGCAAGACGTGTTAGTTTGCCTGCAGTTTCAATCACTGCTGAAATTTTGTTCATAATTTGTAATAATATATCTGGATAATGGAAGCAGATTTTAGTTAGATTAATTAGAAGTTAATGTTTGTTGGCGCCGGTATATATAGCTACCGTAGATGCATGTCAGGTAACCTGGGAAAATATCAGAAGTTGTATACTTAGAAGGTGTTCATTCTCTGATGATTTAAAACCATGAACGTGTAGATGCAACCACTCTTCAAATTTACTTCACACAGCAAAAAATAATTAGCTACTTTCTACGCTGCTGTGAATTTACATGAAATAAAATCTTTAAAGGGAATTTGAAGTGGCAGAAAAACTCAGGTTACGTATACCAAGCTCATAAATCCGTGAAAAATATTTTCAACATATTTTTCAACTTCCTTTTGATATTATAATTATAATTCACTATTCTGTCTAGCTTTCACCACATGATAGCTATTAGTTTGAATGAGAAATTAACTCTGCCCACTCACAAAATAGCAAGTTTTACACTCTAAGTAATAAAAGAATTTTTTTAATGATAGCTATTATGATCTTTAATGACAGCCATTGTATGTAAAACAATCAATGCATTTCTTTGCTGCGTGTGGTGTTATGTTGTGTGAAGATCATGATGTCGGGGACAATCAAAGTCTAAAATATATGACGCATTTCTACATTTTTCGACATAGTTTTTGTTTTGTATTTGTTTGACTGGTTAGTTATCAAAACGTGCATTGACTGATAATCAATTAAAATATAACTATCTCCTGTTACGGATCTTATGTTTTTGTTTCGCGAAAGGTATTAGGCTGTTAACACAAGGCGAGTATCATGCATGCATGCAGGATAAACGAGTTGCTCTTGTAGAAATAATGAACCTAGAACTTTAAGATAGACCCATTGCAAACAAATGCTAAAATTTTTGTACATGATTGGTAAAATATGAATATAATGCAATTTAATAATAGTCAACCAAAGTTTTCTGTGACGTTTATTGTTTTCGGCGTTAGTATAGCTATACCATTGCTAAATGACGCGCATTTCAACAGTGATCGTTTGCTTCATGAAGTTCTTATATTGCTGTTTTACTAAGGTTGCTTGTTGTTGGCAAAAATCTGAATACAATTCAAACTTTAATATCAGATAGAAAAAGTTTTCTGAATTTATACTCTTTGTCAACGGGTGCAGCGTCGTTACATGTATATTTTGCTATACCTTCAATATGCCATTTAACGTAGAAGGATTTAATAACAGATATTGTGTACTTATCATTGTTATCAATAGTCTATTCTCTGATAATTATAAATGGACATAAAACTACGCTTCTAAAATTTACATCCGCCAACCAAAAATTTGTCAGCTTACTATAACTGAATGACTGCAAATGACTATAATTTGATATTCTGTTTTATATGGCTATCACTGCGTGATATCAGTTCGAATGATTAATAAACTCAGCCCATTCACAACTAATAGCAAGTCTTCCTTTAAGGAATGAAGGAATTTTTCAGTTGATTATTTTGGTATTTGATTGCAGCCAATTTGTGTAAAGATAATGAATGCTTCTCCAACTGCATGTGTCATTATCTCTGAGAACTAAATTATGATGTCAGTGACGATGTTGCATTTAAACATTGTTGATATAGTTTTGGTTTTGTATATTCGGCTAGTTGTACATAATCGGCTAGTGCACAAAAAAACTAGTCAATATACATATAACCTGACGACCGCCAAATATCTTAGGTTGTTGTTTTGCTGTCGAGTTATAGGTAGTAGGTGAAGTATAATCCATGATTGCATTTAAACATTGTTGATATAGTTTTGGTTTTGTATATTCGGCTAGTTGTACCTAATCGGCTAGTGCACAAAAAACTAGTCAATATACATATAACCTGACAACCGCCAAATATCTTAGGTTGTTGTTTTGCTGTCGAGTTATAGGTAGTAGGTGAAGTTGTCAAATTATTGGTATTTATTGCATTGATCATGAGATAGATCCATTGCCCTTTCAACAAAGTCTAAATTTGTATAAATGATCAGTAAAAAAATCTATATATCAATATATATGAAATTACTCTTATAATCTTCTTCTAACTGCCAAAAACGTTTGAGAAACTTTTATTTATTTAATCACCAGCAGGCAGCAGACGAAGAATGTTTTACTTTTAATAAATATAGCATGAGATGTTTCATGTTGCTAATCGAATATTCATGGTGCGTACATTGCTCTTTTTAAATGCATATTTTTGTAAAAATATATTATCGCTCAATTTTTCTTCTTACATAGTAAAACGTGTATCGCCTGGTCAATATAAACAGTCAAAACATTTGCAATCTAATATGTGTGGTGTGACGTAAAATAGAATCTTTGAGTGCACAATTGACTGCATATTTTGTGCGAAAGCAACATTGAGCGTATGTGAAAGAGCAGCTGTTAGCTAAATGTGCAAAAGCTATGGAATAGCACTTTCGTTAAAGAGATGAATTGATTAAATATATTTCTGGCTGAAAAATAACTGTAATTCCGCTTGTCTGAGCACCGACGTATTCAATATTTCTTTCAAGATAGCTTTGTCTTAGTGACACATAGACAGGAAAAGTAGAAGAGAGGTTATTATCCATAGGAAAATGGGAGGTAGTACCTACAAAAACAAGATGAACAAGACTGACGCTCGAATACAGAAAAAAAACGCATAAAGAATCCAAACCAAATTTCAAAGACAAGTCAATCGTCAAATGTGAGTAAAAAATAACATGCCATAGACTGAATAAAATAATACTAACCTTGACGCCGTAACCATTATTAATACCTTATGAAAAAATGCATTTAGTTGGTTGCTGCTGGTGATTACACTTGTGTTCACATATGATGAACAACATGATGAACAATAAGATGAGCAACATTAACTCTCGAATATGAAAAAATACATAAAGATACAAAAGTTTCACGACGAATCAACCGTCAACGAATCAATGAACGTCAAGAGGAATCAATGAACAACAAGATGAACAACAAGATGAACAACAAGATGAACCATAAAATGAACAACGAGATAAACAGCAAGATGAACAACAAGATGAACAACAAGATGAACAAAATAGATGAACAACAAGATGAACAGCAAGATGAACAATAAGATAGACAAAATTATTAACTCTCGAATACAAAAAAATAAATAAAGAATCCAAACAAACATTTAAAGAGGGATCAATCGTAAAGATATGGGTAAATTTGAGTAAAAAATAATATGCTATAGACTGAATAAATAATACTAACCGTGATGCCAGAGCCCTTTTTAATATCCTATGAAAAAGTACATTAATATATATATATAATTTGTTCCAGCCTGTGATCACTCTTCTGTTCACATATAATATCATACGTGGTCACTCGGGTGTCTGTTTGAGCTCAAAGTGTATTAGGAAAAATCTCATAAAGTATTTTTCAAGCGCTTACTGGAAGATTGATTGGATTGCTTTCAGCTTCACCCAAAATACATCATGAGTTTGTGCAAGCGTAGCATAGACTTGCACGCTGATATTTTTACCATTATTTTCCACTGGATGCTATAAAAATGTGAGATTAATCTTTGTGTTAGGATTTTGATGTGTTATACTCGCATGATTTAGGAACTAAAACGTTATACCAGATGAGCCAGGTGATTAAATGTAATTCGGAAGTTATAGATATAGTATGTGCGGCAGGCGAAAGCTTGTACTGGAGAATTAAAGAATATAAGAGTGAGTACAACTTACTAGAAATATATTCTACAATTTGTTAAAACAAACTTGCACTAAGATGTAGTATATGCTCGCAAAGATATAGTATAAGCTAAGTCGTGGAAACTTAATGATGTGTGTCAATGCAGGTATCCAGCGTTAAGCAAACTAAATTACTACAGTCTATCTATTGGTAAGATTTTAACTTTTGAATTTCACAACAAATGGATTTTTATTAGGATATTATAAATTCAAAATTAGTGGCCATAATTTATTTTGCCTAACCTTGGATACTCCATAGATACTGCATGACAACGTCACGAAGTTCCCGCAATAGTCTTTGTACTCATTGTTTTCAACATATCTTGCATATAGGAATGTGTAACTTAATTAACTTAATAAATGTACGTAATGCTTGACGAATAAAGATTTTACAAATACTTTGGCCTAGTAAATTCTACTCAATATAATAAGTTTAATTCTAATTTCGGAATTTGTAATATACGACGAAAATTCGCTTCTGATAAAAGCGTTTTCGTGTGTGCAGTTTTGATATCGAGCGATTGAATTGTATCCTTCAGGTAGCTTAAATTCTCCCAAAGCCGGACTTGAATTGTTTTGTCTGGTTTGAATAAGAAATCCTTGTATAGTTCCTTCAATGAATAGACGAACGGCTCTGTCGACAACTTCAACTCTTATTTCGTATGTGGAAGTGTCTATCTTCTGTCAATTAAGGTCACCATTCTTGTGGTGACCAAAGCTTATTAAAACGCAGGTCATAGAAGGAGCACTATTAGGTAGCCCTTGTCCATGTTTTCCCATCATCAATACGACGCACAAAATTACCAATGTTTAGGACACTTTGTTTTTAACTTTAATAATAAGATACATAGAAGATTTCCAATTTCTTGACTTCAAAATCAAATTACAATACGCTTATGAAGATGTTATTTACATTGCCTTTTTATGTATATATCACAAATTGCCTAACGCAATTTATATAATGCAACACTTCCGGCGACGGTAGTACGTTGTTTTCATCAATAAAGTATTTGGATTATTAAAAGAGCCAAAACAGCACCTATTCCGTAGGCAATTTCGAATACATCAATGATATGAATGAATTATGTTTGCAAAATCAATTTCAAGCTTGTGTTTGTAATAATAGCTTAAGTTCCCTTTTCGACTTTAGTTCTTTATGTAGATCTGTACAATTGTATGTAAAATACACCAGCGTTTACACTGTCTTGTATGTTTGTTTAGGTAGAGAAATGGAATTATCTTATGGAATTTACATTTCAAAGATCGTAAAGAAATTTTACGGTGTGATAAAAGGTATATATGAATGAGATGTCTTTTATTATTTTTATCAAGCAAACATATATACAAATACATCATCAAACGACGCACAACTGTTCAACAACTTCTTCTGCCAGTTGAATTTTACTTCTACAATCTACAAGTGTGTTGTAAAAACTTAGATTACATTTCAAGAATGTTCACTCAGTATTATTTCTAATTTTAACACGTGGTTTGATGTATCATGATATGATTTTTTAAAGTATAAATGAAGAAATATAAGTCAAGGAACACTTCTTTGAGCAAAGCAAATACAACATAAATATTTGCTAAAAATTATCCAAACAGTCAGTAACAAATTACCAAGTAGGCTATGTAGACTGAAGCCTACAGGTCAGGGTTATTGAGATTTGAGAGCCCCGTTGTATTTAGACATAATTAGTTTTTACTATTTGCTATTCCAGACTCGCTAAATGTGCCTATTTCAGACCATTTATAAGCTGTTAAAAACCGTACAATTTATGGTTTAAATGCGTGATATTCAAAATTTATAAAGTAGTGGGTTTCCCCAGTTTAAATTATAAATTTATTCCCTATTGTTCACGTTATAATTTACAAACCCAAGCCAAGAAAAGCAAAAGCAAAGGAACTGAGATGAGCGCCAGCGTTGGGAAGATACTGAACTTAGTCAGAGGAATAAACATTTTTATCTTAGCCTACAGGCCCCGTGATTATTAATCCGCCACTGCAAAAGGCACATGTCATTGATATGAATTGGACGTCATATTGGGAAGACGCTTGAAGAAAACACTGGATGTTCAAAAACATCCACTTTTTAACAAAGTACAACAGAAGAATTCCTAATGTGAAGTTAAAAACGACATTAGTACCAGCTTTTTTATATATTTATACTGGCGGTCAAACACTAAAAATTTTCAATATTTCAACTTGGAGTGCAAAGACTCTTTGAATAGTGAATTTTTATTTTTGGTGATTGTAACTAAGTGCCATAAATATAGGTTCAAAAACTAAAACTGTGCAATTTATTTGTTGAAAGTGGCTATAAATACTTATGACTATATTTTGCCGCCTATTCAGCATTTTACTTTCTATTCTGCGCTTTAACCTCTGCTTGAAAACCTTTCAAAAACTTTCTTTCACCTATCGTTTTAATCAACTGCACTTGAAATTTGTGCGCAATCCAATTTTGCAGGCAAAAGGAGTCAGCAAAAAATTTTCTATAATTCGAAAAAGATTTTGGCTGTAATTCGTGTGAAATATAGCTGGCTATGTATTCCAAGCGAAAAAATTATGTTTGTAATTTGCAACTCACCAACACATTTTATAAACCACTTAAATGGCTCTCACCAATATAAAATAAGACTTTAGAGCTCACTAAGTTCGAGAAATATTTTTTTAAAAGTTTTGTTCGAGCGATTTGTGCAAAGAACCCATACAAGTTTATAGGTTCAGTTTCTTTGCCATTGGTTAATTTACAATAATTTGAAGATTTTTCACAATTTGAAGATTTTTGTTGTCAAATATTTGTGCACAAAACGTAAATATTCAAATGTTTAGCATTTTAGATTTGATGAATTAACGTTGTCTTAATAGGGATCCCATCACCCAAAAGTAAAAACATATAGCAATTTGAAGAATAAGTAGAAGAGTGCGAAAGATAACAAAAGGTTTTTTAAAAGATAGCTTTTTTGAGGAGGATGAGCACAAGGAAAAATCTAAAATTGCTCTTACGATGATTTGTTTGCTGAGCTATCTTGAATACATATTTCTTTTAAGTATTCTTTTGTATAAGACCACTTATATGGTGTCCGTGACGTAGCTAACTTTCAACTTTTCGGTTACACATTTACTTATAAATACAGACATCTTGAAATTCGTCATTTAACAAACAAGTTTAATTGATTGATAGCACAAGAAAGACACCATTCAAATATTGTTATATCTTACTTGAAGAAGTCTGAAAAAAGTTTCGTCTTACGTCAACGGATGTTTTTCAAATATTTGGTTTAAAAAAGCCTTTCAAAACCCCTTTGGCACACATCTCTACTAATTTGCACTTAAGTTTGTATGCCCAAATTTGTAGACAAAGAGTCCGCCAAAGCTTTACTTCAATTGAAATAAGAATTTAGACAAATACCTAATTTTTGTAAAGTTTAAGGAATGCTTATGACATGGGAGAAAGTTATCTTTGTACTGTGCTGCATGGCAATTTTTCGAAACTCCCTAAAATATCCTATAAATCATTTCAACGACTCTTATAGCTACCTATTTCAAATATGACATAAGAGTTCACTGCGCCTGATGTGCAATATTTTCAACAATTTGAAGATTTTTGTTGTCAAATATTTGTGCACAAAACGTAAATATTCAAATGTTTAGCATTTTTAGATTTGATGAATTAACGTTGTCTTAATAGGGATCACATCACCCAAAAGTAAAAACATATAGCAATTTGAAGAATAAGTAGAAGAGTGCGAAAGATAGCAAAAGGTTTTTTAAAAGATAGCTTTTTTGAGGAGGATGAGCACAAGAAAAAATCTAAAATTGCTCTTACGATGATTTGTTTGCTGAGCTATCTTGAATACATATTTCTTTTAAGTATTCTTTTGTATAAGACCACTTATATGGTGTCCGTGACGTAGCTAACTTTCAACTTTACGGTTACACATTTACTTATAAATACAGACATCTTGAAATTCGTCATTTAACAAACAAGTTTAATTGATTGATAGCACAAGAAAGACACCATTCAAATATTGTTATATCTTACTTGAAGAAGTCTGAAAAAAGTTTCGTCTTACGTCAACGGATGTTTTTCAAATATTTGGTTTAAAAAAGCCTTTCAAAACCCCTTTGGCACACATCTCTACTAATTTGCACTTAAGTTTGTATGCCCAAATTTGTAGACAAAGAGTCCGCCAAAGCTTTCCTTCAATTGAAATAAGAATTTAGACAAATACCTAATTTTTGTAAAGTTTAAGGAATGCTTATGACATGGGAGAAAGTTATCTTTGTACTGTGCTGCATGGTAATTTTTCGAAACTCCCTAAAATATCCTATAAATCATTTCAACGACTCTTATAGCTACCTATTTCAAATATGACATAAGAGTTCACTGCGCCTGATGTGCAATATTTTCAACAATTTGAAGATTTTTGTTGTCAAATATTTGTGCACAAAACGTAAATATTCAAATGTTTAGCATTTTTAGATTTGATGAATTAACGTTGTCTTAATAGGGATCACATCACCCAAAAGTAAAAACATATAGCAATTTGAAGAATAAGTAGAAGAGTGCGAAAGATAACAAAAGGTTTTTTAAAAGATAGCTTTTTTGAGGAGGATGAGCACAAGAAAAAATCTAAAATTGCTCTTACGATGATTTGTTTGCTGAGCTATCTTGAATACATATTTCTTTTAAGTATTCTTTTGTACAAGACCACTTATATGGTGTCCGTGACGTAGCTAACTTTCAACTTTACGGTTACACATTTACTTATAAATACAGACATCTTGAAATTCGTCATTTAACAAACAAGTTTAATTGATTGATAGCACAAGAAAGACACCATTCAAATATTGTTATATCTTACTTGAAGAAGTCTGAAAAAAGTTTCGTCTTACGTCAACGGATGTTTTTCATATATTTGGTTTAAAAAAGCCTTTCAAAACCCCTTTGGCACACATCTCTACTAATTTGCACTTAAGTTTGTATGCCCAAATTTGTAGACAAAGAGTCCGCCAAAGCTTTCCTTCAATTGAAATAAGAATTTAGACAAATACCTAATTTTTGTAAAGTTTAAGGAATGCTTATGACATGGGAGAAAGTTATCTTTGTACTGTGCTGCATGGTAATTTTTCGAAACTCCCTAAAATATCCTATAAATCATTTCAACGACTCTTATAGCTACCTATTTCAAATATGACATAAGAGTTCACTGCGCCTGATGTGCAATATTTTCAACAATTTGAAGATTTTTGTTGTCAAATATTTGTGCACAAAACGTAAATATTCAAATGTTTAGCATTTTTAGATTTGATGAATTAACGTTGTCTTAATAGGGATCACATCACCCAAAAGTAAAAACATATAGCAATTTGAAGAATAAATAGAAGAGTGCGAAAGATAACAAAAGGTTTTTTAAAAGATAGCTTTTTTGAGGAGGATGAGCACAGGAAAAAATCTAAAATTGCTCTTACGATAATTTGTTTGCTGAGCTATCTTGAATACATATTTCTTTTAAGTTTTTAGCGCTTGCTTAAATTTCCAAGTTATTTCTATGAGCATTTATTTGAAGAATATTCCATGTATTTATCAGGCACAACGTGATATGGGAGGGGGGCTAGAGCAACCTCTCCCCTCCTCCGCTTTTTCACCCAGTATAACCTTTTTGCTAACGATATATATTTTAACCCAGCTTGAGAAAAAGTAAGACGCAGTAAATTTACTTTATATTTGTCGTACACCCTCCCCCCCCCCTCCATGTTCAATTTCATGTCGCTATTCCTGTTTATAACTATGATTCTAGGGGCTGATTACATGGAGCTTTTTTGAAGCCTAAGCTGAACTGAGCCCGTTAAGTGAGTTGAAATTTATTGCATTTATATTGAAAATCTTATCCCCGAGAATAGAAATCAACAGGAATCAAATCTAATAAAACATAAAAAGCATGTCTAGCCGACGACAGTTATATTGCATATCCTTAAATACTCAGCCCTGCGTAAAACACGATTACATGGTGTAACTTTTGTACCATTGCTGCGGTCAACACTGGGCTGAAATTTCAACCCGGTTATCTGAAACAAGTTTGAATCGCAAGTTTCATGTAACGAATCAAGTTTATGTCAACTATCATCGAGTCTACAAGCAGAAGTGCACGACTTCGGAAACTTTTTTCAACAGTTAACCTATAACGGTTAATTGGCCGCACATACTCACGAGCCTATAAGTTTATGTAGCTAAATATTCAATTCTCATTTTTGGTAGTTGTCACCATCTGTCATAAACATTATGGGCTCATAAACTAAAACTGAAAATTGCATATGTTTAAAAAAACTACATACTTATAACTCCGTTTGAAAATCCTTCAAGACCTTTCTTTCACCTAGCATTTTGAAGAATTGCACTTAAAATTTGTATGTAATCCCATTTTTTAGGCAAGGAGTCAGCCAAAACGTACCTTCAATTCAAAAAAGAAGCTGGTTGTAATTTATGTGAAATAGCTTGCTGTATATATTCCAAGCAAAAAGGTCATTTTTGTAACTTGCAACTAACCAACACATATTACAAACCACTTCAATGGCGTTTACCAAGTCAAATACGACTTTCGATTTAAAGTTCAAAGATTACAAAAGGTTTTATAAAACTGTAAGAGTTTTTATAGATGGATGAGTACAGGAAAAAACACTTAAATTGGCTAATTTAATTTGCATAGAGAGGGTCTTTAATGTATACATTAAGTTTCTAGTTCTTTTTTAATTGTTGAGAACATTTATATACACGTCTTTTTCCAGAAGCATCGGTTGCACATTTTATGACTCCACAGTAAAATTCAAAAGTCTTTTCAAATTAAAACATGTCTATGTAGGTATAGATTCACAAAGCATCATCCAAAAGAAAGAAAAGACGCCAATATGAGCAACTGTAAAAAAGATCTTCCCATCAATAGAGTAACATTGAAGTAAAATGTTTATTGATTCAAAATAAATAAATTCTAATTTCTATCTTAATCAAATACCATAGTTGAAAACATCAACTCGTTACAGGTATTTACTTGAGCAGTAATAGAGCAATAACCTAATTTTATTTTACCTGTGAAATATATTTTGTATTTTGTGAAATTGAATTTAAAGAAACGCCTTTGGTTTTAAAAACATAAGTCGTCTATTCAACAAACTACGTAATTTTATTGTCATTGATTCCAAAGCCATCATCAGAGTATATACATAGCGACACATGTTTTTCGTGTGCATATTAAAAACCGTGTTAGGGTTAATATATTTTTGTCATTGAGGATTTCCAGAAATTCCCACGGACGTTTCATCGTTAACAATTGGCTTTTAAATTAAGCTTCAAGAACTGAAGCTTCAATTTTGCGTCAAAACATATTCTCAAAGAAATTTGATAGAATTTACAAGAAGAATATAACTACATTCATGCAATGGTATGTGAAACTTAATAAACACATTTTCAAAAAGTAAAATAAATCATTCTAGGATTGCTACTAAACTCTGGGGAATCATAAAACATTATGGTGCCCACAATAACATCGAGAAAGTATTCTTTTGCATAAGACCACTTACATGTTCTCAGGCTACTAGCCTTGACGTCGCTAACTTTCAGCTTTTCGGTTACACAATACAGAACTCTTAAAATTAATTATTTAACGAATAAGCATACTTTGTTCATAATGACACAAAGACACCATTCAAATATTGTTACATCTTACATCAATAAGTCTGAAAAAGATTCTTTTTGCGTCAACGGATGTTTTTCATATATTTGAAAGAAACACAGAAAGAAAAGACTTTTTTGTTAGAAAAACTACATCCGTTGCATCTATAGCATAAAAAGTTTTCTTTTAGTATACTTTTATGTTTTAAAAGTTTACTTTTATGTATGAAAATTTTTGCGATAGCTATAAAAACTCTCAAGATGCAGTCTTAAAACAGTTGTTGCAGACTAGTCATCGGTAGACAAATCAAGTTCTTGGATCAACAATTCGGACAAAGGCAGGATAAAAGGCAATTAGCTTCATATAGTCGAGCTATAAATTTCGAGCCTACGACATTCAAAAGCACAAATTTTCAGTTATCATAAGGTAGGTTTAAACTTACAACTGATTCAATTGTCCAAATTTTTATATCAATAACTGAATATTTTCCCGTTCTTTTTTATTTACTGTATAATGATTTGACACTTCAAAGATGCATATGGCAAATTCCTCGTTTAGTCACATGACACAATTTCTGTTGATTTGGCTGGTACATCCAAACTATACATGAAATTTTAGCTTAATCCAAACTGTGTTGCATGGTTTTTGCTTCAAGTGTTTTGTAAACTGAATGCATATTATGATACTGAGTGATGATCACTGACTTTGTTACGAGTCAATTTAAACTTTCTGTAGCGATATGAACAAGTGGATATTCGTAATAACCTTCTGTATTCTAACAATTCCTGCACATGTCGCCCATGGCATTTGCTGCGAAAAGATAAAAGAATTGGTAAAGAGAAAACAGAATGCATATAGAGTTTTATGTGGAAATGGACACAATCTTCCTCGTTATTGCTGCGAAGATATCAGAAAAGAAGTGAAAACATTTGTTGAGTCATACACAACATTGTGTCTAAACAGAACAGGTATGGCATCATTAAAATGTTTGAATAAGTATAAACAATGGATATTGTAACAATTCTTAGAAAAGTACAAGTTTTTTGACGCGCGTGTTTTTTTCCTTGCCAACCTAGAATACCTCAAAACCTAAAGTGTGTATTTACTTACTTATGAACTGTTAAATGCCAAAACAATGTCAAAAATAAGAACCTAAAGCAAGTTTTATACCTAATTCTTTTCAAAATAATGAATAATACTTTTTTATGTGTCTGAATTGACGATGGTCGCATTATAAAACTAAAAGTTGCCTGAAATAAAATTGTTCTAAGTTGTCTTTTATTACAGACTCCCTATACGATTCAAGAATTCTGAGAGGGAAATACAATTGGATAATACAAATTAGGAAATGGCTTCCTTCAAATTTGACAAAGAAAAATACGGTGCGCTGTTACCAAGGAACCGTGAATGGATGGGCATCAAGAACCTTCCACAATCGCTGCGACTACAAAGGACCAACACTGGTGATAGTGCAAAGAGGAAGCTATGTGTTTGGGGCATTTGCATCAAAATCTTGGGGAGGTAAGCTTAGAACGAAACAAGATTTGCACTCTCTTTTTTCCAGCATTTGATTTACATTCGTCCATTTCATCAAATAAGGTTTAATTTTAAATGACAAAATAGACACTTTGTCTCGGTGACAAATCTAAATACTGTTTTGATAATTAAATTTTAATGAATAATAACTTAATAGTTCTTAAAGCAAAGAACTGTTTAAAAGCAGAACACTAACCCAATTACTCTAAGAACTGTTTTGGAACATAAAAATTTAAAAAGCATTGCTCTTTTACAGGACGTTCTCGCTACATACGTACATCAACTTCATTCATTTTCTCCTTGAAAAACAAAGATGGTCTGTCACCATTTAAAACATACTCCACAGTACGACCACAATTCGCATTGTACACTAGCATTAACTATGGACCAACATTTGGGGGTGGTCATGATATCTATATCGCCAACAATGCGAGGCTCAATTCCTATTCGTACACCAACTTTGGTTATTCGTACAAGGCTCCAAACGGATATTCTTATGGTAGCACAAAAATAAAGAATTTATTGGCTGGCTCCTATCGCTTCAGTGTAAACGAAGTAGAAGTTTACTACTTTTCTTCGTGAACGGAACATTATGGTTGTTGTAAACTTATGTAAAGGAGTATTCAGTAGCTTTTTAACACTAGTTTTGTTACTTGTCGTTCATAAAATATTGTGGTAGAAAAGTCAACAATAAAATTAAGAAACAATATATCCTGTTTATTGCATTCTATATTCAGCGGTGAAAACAAACAAATAAAATGTTCATTGCTAATGTTCAATATTTTGATTAGTACTACCAAAATTTGTAGACATAGGTAACACAACCATTCCTCAAGAATTTTATGGCCTATTTTATTGTTGCCATTAGTAGTGATGTAGCAAGACTTAACACCTTGAATAAGGCATAATTAAAAGCGTGAACCCATGTATTTATGGGATTTCGAAGAGTTCATGCAACAGTAGGTAGTATTTGTGACTGTGTCATGCAAAAAATTTCTTTTACTCCAGCTACATCACCTTTTGTTGCCATCTCTTGTTTCATTTCTGCTACATCAGCTTTTGTTGACATCTCTTGTTTCATTTCTGCTACATCAGCTTTTATTAACATCTTTTGTTTTCATTTTGCTGCATCACCTTTTGTTGACATCTCTTGTTTTATTTTTGCTACATCAGCTTTTGTTGACATCTCTTGTTTCATTTCTGCTACATCAGCTTTTATTAACATCTTTTGTTTCCATTTTGCTGCATCACCTTTTGTTGACATCTCTTGTTTTATTTTTGCTACATCAGCTTTTATTAACATCTCTTGTTTCCATTCTGCTGCATCACCTTTTGTTGACATCTCTTGTTTCATTTCTGCTATATCAACTTTTGTTGACATGCTTTCTTAACTTTCTTGTACTTCATTTTTTCATAACTTTAAAGTCATTTTTATTTCTTTTATAACTTCTGTGGTTTTAGCAGTTACTTCGTTAAACTGTTGTTTACATTTCAATAAAATTTACCTCATCACAACTGAGAGTAGCTTCTTCAATTCAACTATTTCAGCTAGGTTGTTGAATATTCAGATCGACCAACCAATACTTCAAAGATTTCCTTCCACAAGTTCTCAAACTCACTGCCATTTACACTAGTTGTGGTTTTGTGACCGTACATTTTGTTTCAATAAATTTTATTCTATTAATATAATGAGAGTGATGTATCTGAAGAGGAAGGAAGTTTATCCCATCCTCTAGTTAGTGCTGTTAAGCCAAATTTATTTTGCAATAAGACAGTTAATAACGAAATATTAAACTTCAATGTTCGTTGAACCAATTGGCGTTTATATATATCTATATATAAGTTTGAAAATTTGTAATCCAGGCATTGAATATATAAAAGATAAACGTTTCTCCGGATTTTTAAATGATTTTTATTGAGCTTTCGACTCGTTGCTTCGAGCCTTCATCAGAATGAGGATATTTATTTACACGTGCTTTTAGCTTGGAGACGTTTAGAGCGTCTAATTGGATTAGTGGGTGGATTAATGTGATTGGATGGTGTGAAATGCGTTGCCATGGGTTTTGGTGTGTTGTTAATATGGTTGGTGTTAATAATATTAGAGTGTAGTGTTTTAGTTTTAGTGTTGTTTGTAGTTTTTTTGTCCTTTTTCTTTAGTTGTGAGTATATGATGGGTATGTCGATATGTCTGTTTATTGTGTCGTTGTCTTCACTGTACCAAGCTTCTTTAAATTCGCGTGCGTGTTTAGTCTGTGCGCGTCCGAGTACTTTAGTTTCTGTCCAGTCGAATGTGTGGTTGTTTCCGTGGGTATGTTCTGCCGGTAGTGAGTTCGGATCTCGTCGTTTTATGGCGTTTTTGTGTTCTGTGAGTCTTGTTTCAATTTTCTTAGATCTTTGTCTTATGTATTGTTTTGAACAGTCTTTACATGGTATCATGTAGATCGCGTCAGTTGTATCATGAATTGTTGTTTTGTCTTTATGTTTGGTGAAACATGATTTGAGTTTTTGTGTAGGTTTGTGGGCGACGTTAATATTAAATGGTCGAAGAAGTCTGGCAGTCATTTCTGATGTTCCGTTTATGTATGGTAATGTGACGATTTTTACTGTTTCGTCCGGTTTTTTGTTGCTTTTGCCGGTTTGTGTTTTGTTTTGTATTTTGTATATAGTTTTGTTTATGAAGTTTCTAGGGTAGTTGTTTTTAATAAATGTGGAGTATAAGTAGTTGCGTTCTGTTTTTTTGGCTTCTTCCGTATTACAATGAGTGTTTATCCTGTTGAAAAGTGTTCGAATGCAGCTTATTTTGTGTTGTATTGGATGATTGCTGTTGAAATCGAGTATTTGGTCTGTGTGGGTGGTTTTACGGTATACTTGTGTGTTTAGTGTACCGTCATCTGTTCTGGTTAGTAGGATGTCGAGGAAGGTAAGTTGTTTGTCGTGTTCTTCGTCTTTAGTAAAGGTAATGTTCTTTGTGGTATTGTTTATGGTGTATAGGATTTGTTCAGTTTTGTCTTTCTTGACTATGGCAAAGATGTCGTCGACATATCTTTTCCATAGTCTGATGTTTGTGTTGTTTGTGACTGATTGTGTTTCGAGGTGTTGCATGACAGCTTCTGCGAGGAAGGTGGATAGTGGTGATCCCATTGGTGTGCCTGAAATTTGTCTGTAGTATGTGTTTTGGAAGGTGAATTCAGTGGAGAGGCAAAGGTTGAGTAAGTCTAGGATGTCATTTTTGTCTAGTTGTGTTGTAGCTTGCCAAGTTTTGTCGTTTGTGAGTAGTTCGTTTGTAATTTGTTTGGCAATGTCTAGTGGTATGGATGTGAAGAGTGATGTCACGTCGTAGGATATCATGATTTCGTCTGGTCTTAGTTTAATGTTTTCAATACTGGCGAGGAAAGTGGTGGCATTTCTGATGGTATGAGGTGAATTTTTGACTAATGGATACAGAATGTTATAAAGATATTTTGAAAGTTCATACGTAGGTGATCCTGGAAGCGATACGATAGGTCGAAGTGGGTTGTTTTCTTTATGGATTTTTGGTAGTCCGTAGAATTTGGCGGTGGATGCGTCATTGGGTCGGATTCTTCTGTAGTCGTTTTCGTTTAGTTTCTTTTTGTCTTTTAAATGTTTCAGTTTCTGGTTGATGCGGTTGGTGGTCGTTTTGCTGGGGTCTGTGTGGAGAAGTTCGTAGGTGGTGGTGTCTTGTAGGAGGGTTTTGGCTTTGTCGATGTATTCTGATCTGTCCACTATCCACCTTCCTCGCAGAAGCTGTCATGCAACACCTCGAAACACAATCAGTCACAAACAACACAAACATCAGACTATGGAAAAGATATGTCGACGACATCTTTGCCATAGTCAAGAAAGACAAAACTGAACAAATCCTATACACCATAAACAATACCACAAAGAACATTACCTTTACTAAAGACGAAGAACACGACAAACAACTTACCTTCCTCGACATCCTACTAACCAGAACAGATGACGGTACACTAAACACACAAGTATACCGTAAAACCACCCCACACAGACCAAATACTCGATTTCAACAGCAATCATCCAACACAACACAAAATAAGCTGCATTCGAACACTTTTCAACAGGATAAACACTCATTGTAATACGGAAGAAGCCAAAAACAGAACGCAACTACTTATACTCCACATTTATTAAAACAACTACCCTAGAAACTTCATAAACAAAACTATATACAAAATACAAAACAAAACACAAACCGGCAAAGCAACAAAAACCGGACGAAACAGTAAAATCGTCACATTACCATACATAAACGGAACATCAGAAATGACTGCCAGACTTCTTCGACCATTTAATATTAACGTCGCCCACAAACCTACAAAAACTCAAATCATGTTTCACCAAACATAAAGACAAAACAACAATTCATGATACAACTGACGCGATCTACATGATACCATGTAAAGACTGTTCAAAACAATACATAGGACAAACATCTAAGAAAATTGAAACAAGACTCACAGAACACAAAAACGCCATAAAACGACGAGATCCGAACTCACTACCGGCAGAACATACCCACGGAAACAACCACACATTCGACTGGACAGAAACTAAAGTACTCGGACGCGCACAGACTAAACACGCACGCGAATTTAAAGAAGCTTGGTACAGTGAAGACAACGACACAATAAACAGACATATCGACATACCCATCATATACTCACAACTAAAGAAAAAGGACAAAAAAACTACAAACAACACTAAAACTAAAACACTACACTCTAATATTATTAACACCAACCATATTAACAACACACCAAAACCCATGGCAACGCATTTCACACCATCCAATCACATTAATCCACCCACTAATCCAATTAGACGCTCTAAACGTCTCCAAGCTAAAAGCACGTGTAAATAAATATCCTCATTCTGATGAAGGCTCGAAGCAACGAGTCGAAAGCTCAATAAAAATCATTTAAAAATCCGGAGAAACGTTTATCTTTTATATCTATATATATAGGAAGTTTTGTTTATTTGAATCTCCGTAAGTACAGTGCTCGATGCGTAAGAGCATAGAATAAATATTGTAATAAGAAGAAAATACATAAAAACTACAATTTCATCCCGACAAGCCTGTTTCATGATTTCTCATTCTTCAGAGGATAATATTAAATGAATACAAAAGCATGTGCTTGATTATATTACAAGAGGAAGTTAGGGTAAAAATTAACTATCATCACTCAACAAAAGCGACGAACTTATCTCCTTTGTCACCATAGACACAAGGCACTTTTATCCAATTTGTAATCGTACACCTAACTTATTATGTAATTCTAACTTAATTTTTACCCAAACTTCCTGTTGTATATATAATCAAACACATGCTTTTGTATTCATTTAATATTATCCCCTGAAGACTGAGAAATCACAAAACAGGCTTGTCGGGATGAATCTGTAGTTTTCGTGATTTTTTTCAACATCACTACATATCATACAGGAGTCACCATTTTATTATGGTGATAGCAGGGAGGGCACATTGTATATACACTTTGTTTATACATTTATGCTCTGCTCTTACGCATCGAGCACTGTACTTACGGAGATTCAAATAAACAAAACTTTCTACACTTTGTATATATATATATATATACACCGACTATCACCATAGTGCAATGGTGACCCCTGCACTTGGGACACAGGATGTACGGTTACACATTGTATGGA